CGGTCATCTTTTAAAGCTATGGAGATACTGAACCGCCACTTTGGGCGGTAAAAATGAAAAGTTAACAACCAAAAAAATGGAAAAAAATCAATTCATCAGCCAAGGTGGCAAATCCGTCCGCTCATTGGTCAAAACCGGTCATCAATGGGGGTGTTTGGGGGGTTGACTCCCATCAAGGACCGGTTTTGACCGGTCCTTGATGGGAGTGTGTCCTCCCATTGATGACCAGTGTCATAAATGGTCATCAATGGGAGGACTGTATTGCCAAATTGGCTGATGAATTCATTTTTTTCCATTTTTTTTTTTTTTAATTTTTAATTTTTTTTGGCCAAAGTGGCGGTTCAGTACCTCCATAGCTTGAAAAGATGACCGGAATGAGTGTAAGTTGATAAAGACTAGACCAGGGTTCAAAGACTACAATGATTTCAGCACTAGACAACATTACAAAATACCACACAGAAACTATCAAAAACATAAGTAAAAATCATGTAAATTATTTATCAAATCATATTTAATTTAACAGTGGGATAGATGAGTTTTTTAGGGATGAGAAGAAAAAGAGATGAAATTCCAACAAAATTGCCCAGAAGAGGTGGGGACTAGGCCATTTTTGGGGAGTTATTCCCCAAGTTGGCAGATATTAACAAGTTTAACATTAAACCTCAAACCCTCTCTTCTTTCCACAGGTACCGCTACTAGCAATGTTGGATGAGACATTAATTCTCATCCTGACCCTGGGATTGGGGGACACCTCAAAATCTTGCCCCCTCTTTTATATTGTTTTTTTTTTCTTTTGTCCTGATTATTGTTCCTCCATACTTTTCTATCTTCCGCCTTCTCTCCCCTCTCCTTTGATTTGTCCTTCCTGAACTGCTCACCAAGGCCCTTGCCTTTTCCATCATCTTGACACTTCCACTTTTGATCTTCTCTTTCCTAAAGGCATTTCCCAGCCTTGCAGCGCGGCAAGAGTCCTGGGACAAGCAACAGGCTCTTCCTCTAAGCCTATGTTGAACCTAGACCAAGAAAAGTTTGAGGATGGAAGTGTTGTTGCACCATCAGCTGGACTTTATGAGATGGAAAAGGACACGCCTGTAGGCATAAGCGCAAATGCAAAAGGCAAAGGGGAGGCCATCAAATCAAAATCAGTCCCTAAGAAGAGGTTTGGAGCATCAACTTGGGATGCTGTACTCTGACATTAACATCCAAAAGTTCTCTTCACCTAATCTGGCCCATTGAGGCCTATTACCCAAATTTGAACCCAGTGTTTCCAAATTTGTACTTGATCTCGCTATTCAAGGCCTATTTCCCAAATTTGAACTTGTTTAATTCTGGAATAGTAAACGTTTGTTTCTGCTCAATGTGCCTTAGTAAAACTTCTGTAAAGATATGGGGTTGTGATCTATTGTGATTGAATCAATGACAAACTCAAGCCTTAGTTTACCCTTGCTTTAGGCCTGATAGTATGCCTAGCAAATTTCCTTTTAAGTGAAAAATTGTATGTGCAAGGGCAACAAGCTATATTCAATACAAACATTACGTTTGGTTGCATTCAATGATTTACGGAATAGGCATAAGTCATAAGACGTTAACATGGAATCAAATCAATTTGAAATCACCTCTTCCATTGAATCAACTCTTATGTGTAGCCCCCATTTTCTGATAAACGGACCCCTATAACATCCATTACTTATTGCTATCAAACAGAACATAATATTTAGCGGCCCTAATACAAACTATTTTGTCAAGAAACTTCCAAAGTCCACCCACCAGAAGGCGTTGAATAAGGGCCATGATAGTTCTTATCTGGATCTAGAATGCAATGATGAAGTGAAAGCCTTTTTGGATGCACACTACATTGGACCAGTTGAAGGTTAGATTCAAAATGTTCATATATCATATCTTGGAATCTTTCACGTTATTGATGTTGATGACTTTTGGCCTGAAGCATGTTGGCAAATCTTTCAATTTGAATTGTCTGAGAGGTTACCTTCAGTTCAACAGTTAGGAATCCATGAAGAAAACTCTCATTCAATTTTCTACAATTCAACGCAACAGGCCAAGGCTAAAAATGAGGATGAAAAATCTAGCCGGACTACGCTTAATTAATTTTTTATATTGAACCAAAATAATGAACACTTGCTGAACATGGCCGCACGGGATTGTTATTTTCATCAATTCCCATTGTATTTTTGGTGGGATGAAGAAGTCAATCAGTGGCAGCCGAGAAAAAGGATGTTAAAAACAGTGGGACGGATGCACTTCATCTCACTTCATCAAGGGGAAAGATACTATATTCACGCCTTGACTGAAGGGGCCCAATTCAAGACTGGCTTTCAATTTAGGTTAATGTTTGCAATAATACAGGTGTTTATTCCGCCAGCTGGGCCAATGACTTTGTTCAAAAAGCATTGGGAGGAACTGGGCCAGGACTTAGTCTATGTCCTAAAACATTAGTATGATGTAGAGGATCCAGTTCCGGAACAAAATAAATGTTTCATTCTACTTGCAGGTTTAGTCTTGGAAAATCAATCTTTTGTGCATGGGCAATTGTATGTAGGATTGTCTAGAGTAAGACGAGTGCAAAAAAGGTAACAAACGTTGTGAATAAGCAGTTATTCAGTATGAATGGGGGCGGGACCTAGGCTTGTATCTCAATTAGGGTTCTGACCCGGTGCCTCGGATCCGGGTTTCACCCCTCCCGCTGCCAAACCCGGCGGGTATCCGACCCTGTGCCGGGTTCTTCCGGATCTTTGACATATTTTTTTTCTGCATATTCTGCTGTATTACACCAAAAGAAGGGGGTCAGACAAGAAAAGACACAGTGCACAGCGGCCCCCGTCTGGGGTGTATAAGGGTACTCCCCATCAAAACCCCCGAGGTCTGGGGGTTTTCAGCATCCGACCGGATGCCGGATCTCCCCAGGCCAATCCCAAACCCTGAAACCGTCCACGGGTTGACTGGATTCTTCCGGATTTGCAAGGTCCGGGTCAGAACCCTAATCTAGATATATCTAGATTAGCTTGAGAACTGCAATAGATATGGAAGCCCATAGGGGACAACATTCGCGCCAATCGCGCCAAAACACCAAAAAATCACGCAACCTACTGTACAACACTTGAAACTTTTCACATTGCCTGGCTGTATTTTAGTTTGTTTCATACACATTTGCATGTACAAAACAATGGTACATGTTGCCCACATGCTATGATGAAAAAATTTGTACATTTTTTGGAGTTTTGTCCCTATATCAAGAGGGAACTGGACCGCACTTGTCTTCCCTCAGCATCATGGCTACCTGCTCTAAGTGCCAAAGGTGGACCAGCCGGCCAGCTTTTGGTGGCTGGTGCCGTAGATGCATAGATTCATCAGGCATGCGCCGTGAAGCTGTTGAAGCTTCCTTGAGCACTTTACCTTCAAACAGCTTCGATACCCATCTCACCTCTCGTCAGCACACCAGTCCCAAGAAGAAAACCTCCTCCAGATCAAGCAGACCCCAGCCAGCCACCTTCAGCTCCAGCCGATCAGCACCCAAATCACACGAATATTTCCAGAGTGCTATCACCGCCAAACGGAAAAAACCCAGAGCAGCTCCCTACCCCAAGAAGAAACCAATCCCAGCGGTTCCCAAGGAAACAAAGTATTCTCCATCACCCGACCTCCGATTCATCGACTGTGGATTGGTCTTATACAAAGGAAAAAAACCGGCTGATGATCCTTTGCTATTCAACATCAAACAAACAGTGAATATCAAGAATCCCAATCTCTTTGAAGAACTAAAATGACAGCTCTTGGTCAAATTTACTCCGGAGATCCTCGAATGCATTTCTCTGGAACGACTTCCTCGGGACGTTGAACAAAATCTTAGCCTCCTCCATGGAAAGAGTCGCCTGACCGATTTAGACGCCTTACTATTTGTTGTCCACAAGTCCACTGACAAGAAGCCAGTGCAAGTCGACTTAGCGTACCAATATCGCTTGAAGGAAAAGAAAACTGATCCAATAGAAGATGACGATTCGGAGATTACTGAATTCCAACCAAGAAAGAAGACCTCCGCCCAAACGAAATTGCAAAAGATTCCATCCAATTTAGAAAATGATGATTCGGAGATGAGTGAAGTCCAAACAAGAAAGAAGACCTCCGCCCGAACAAAATCACAAAAGATTCCATCCGATTTAGAAGATGAAGATTCGGAGATTAGTGAAGTCCAACCAAGAAAGAAGACCTCCGCCCGAACAAAATCGCAAAAGATTCCATCCAATTATGAATCACCTGATTCTGATCAATCCACATTGCCAACACAATTGGTCGCCAAATCCAAAAACACAGCAATGTTGTCTGACCAAGAATTGCAGGAATATCCATCCAATGAAACTGAAGTACCTAGATCCAAGACTACTGGATCAAAGCCACCACTCCGGAAGTTAGCAGTGCTAAATGAATCGAATGTGAGGCCCTGTGGTCAAAGGAAATGTAAGATCCCATCCCTCATTTTAACCAATCTAACTTCTTCAAATAAATGTTCATGTACTAACTGCAACAATTTTCCCAGCTTCATCCGATGATCCTGATGAAATAACATCCAAGATTCCCACTTCAAGAGCAATAACTCACAATTTGGTGCCCAATTGAGTTTGACCCAGAAAAAGTGTGGCACATAATAAACCGGACACATGGGCCTCCAGTGGTGTTGTTTGTAAGTCCACAAATCTGCTTTTGTTGTTATCCCAAGTGGTGTAGATTTGTTGACAAACCCAAATCACCTCAGGTACCGTCCCTGCCTGTGGTGCTGCAAGTCTCTCCACCCAAATAGGCTATCTTGGTCAATTGGTTCCACCATCAATAGCCATCAATACAAAAGGCTGGACCAATGCACATCGTTTAATATTCAAGACTCAGAATACTGAACCAGGGTTTGACATCTATTCCGAAAGCAAGTTCAATTGGCTGGAGGCTGATGTAATGCCAATCACTCTCCAAGTTCACCACGACAAAATTGTCGGACAAGGCAGCATGAGGAGAGCCTTTGAGGCGACTGTGAGAACCATTGCAAGTGATGGATCAGTCAAATTGGTCAACTACGTCGCAAAGATACGATTCCGAGATGGGGCGCCCAACATTTCACACTACGCCAGTGATGCACTTATGTATGAAGGGAGTGCACTCCTCTTGGATGAATTCAAGAAGATCTTACCTGGATGCCAAAGGCTGCGTGAGGTGTATCTAAAGAAAGGCCAACTAATGGAGGTCTGTAGCTCTTCAGGATATAATCACTTCGTTTTTTCCATGGGTTTTTGACCTTGTGTTTTTTGCATTTCAGATTGTTCGACATGCGGTAGTTGTCTGTGGTGAAATTAACCTGCCTAGTGAGGTGTACTTCTTGGAAGTAGCATTAGTGGGGCCATATGTTAAATATTCCAGCAATGTCAACTTTAGGATTAAAGAGAATTGGGAAGGAGTTGACCCAGACATTGCTAGGCTGATGAATGCTTTTATGCATTGGTCCTACGTCAATTCCAATGGGAAAAGTCTCATCTGTGACTTGCAAGGTGTTGGGCCAATTCTCACCGATCCTCAAATTATTGACTTGGATGAGGGGTGAGTCATTTTTTGATTAAGATGTAGATTCTTTAAGCTGATATCTTTTGAGCAGGCGTTGGGCAGATGGAAACAATTTGAAACATGGGATCAAGTCATTTGTTGTAGACCACATCTGCAATGAGGTATGCAGAGTGCTGGTTTTCGGGCCGCCAGAGGATCAGATATTTGAGACTGTAAGGTCTGGATATGAAACTAGAAGGAAATTCTAGTACTATTCCTGTCCTAATAATTTTTGTTAGTAATTTTATATTAAATTTTAAGGTTTAAAGTGTATTTAAACTTACAAAAAGGGGGATTGTTGGTTAAACAATCAAAGAAATTATAACCTCACAATGTTACTTGTTAAGAGGCCTAGAGTTGAGTTTTAATCAATACTCTGAATTCCAAAGGAGGAATTGAGGAAGGGTGAATTGTTTGTTAGACAATAGATCACAAGGAGTTCGTCCAAAAAGGTCTTTTGGATGAGTTGAAGATTCCTGGGCAATTTCTAGAGCAATACTTCTGCAACAGAAAGTAAGAAAATGGCCAATTTTAAAGGAATAAGGAGCTGGGATCTTTTAAGGGCAAAGGCTACAGGTTAAGGCTGAAAGTAGCAATAAAAGAGGAGCTCTGTTTCGTGGTTGGAATGCTAAGGTTGATAAGAGAAATGGTTGGAAATGCTGGCTTCAAGTATATAGTAGTATATATGGTGAAGTGGGTGAATTTCTGAGGTTTAAGCACTCAGTAAAGGAGTCCTTATATAGCCACACACCTGAGGGTGGCTTGCAGTGCATTTTTGCACGATGACACTGATGCTTTGGGCTTGTTTGGCTGGGTGTAAGCCATGCCCAAAGCCTTGGTTATCAGTATCCCAAAGGCTGAAACAGTTGTAACTGTAACCACGGGTACAGCTACCCAGTCAGGAAGTAATGATGCAATGCCAAGTTATTGCTAGGGTTCTATATGCCCAAAGGAGACTTTTTGTTTCGTCTCCAATCCATTTTGGAGGGATTTGGTTGAGGTATTCTGATATGTACTGGCTCAGAACAGGTTAAACTACTTGGGCCAGATTGAAATGGGCCAATTCTCAACCCTGTTGATTTCAAACTGGACCAGGGTTGTTCTGGTGGATGGCTGATGTAAGAGGATATTCTGAGTTCGCTCAGAAAGTTTATTAAGGTTGGGGATAAACAAAACAGGTTACATGACCAAGTGGCTGGTCAGGGTTCAGAATATGTGGTCTAAACTGGTCACTTGGTTATAGTTGCTGAGCTACAAGGTTGTACATGTTGCACAAGCCTTGGAACCTTGTTTATCTTGAGTTCGCATCCAATGAACTTTGTTTATGTCATCAGCTGATTTGGTTCTGTAACTTTAAATGTCTGTAACTCTTTAGTTATTGATTATTTTACAGAATTCTTTGTTTTTTGAGTATGTAGTTACACAGTGGTATGTAACTACATGAATTTTGTTTTTATTTTCTAAGTAAAGTAAAAAAGTTTATTTTTATTTTTAAAGGCCTTTGTGGTCATTTGCAGGCTTTTGACCATATACACTTTTATATATAGATTTTTATGCTTAATATTAATTTATTATTTATAATATTTTTTCTTGGGCTAGTCTTGAGACTTGACTATGAGTTGTAATTGTTATTTTTAATATTTTATATTTTGAGGCCTATGGGTATGTATATACCTCAAGGCTGACATTCACTACCACCAAAAAACGAAAAAAAAGGATAATATCATTTTTTATCTGATGTTCTTTTGTCATGTCTGAACCTGCGTAGGAGTTTGTCCCCTTCTGGGATTTCTTCTTCTGGGAGCCATTCATCTTCTTTGTTAGAGTCTTTGTAGCGGACAAGGTAAAATTTATCTTTCTGTCCCCTGACTCTCTTCTCCTTGATAACTTTGGCTATGCTTCCCTGATCTTGTTTCTCCATAGGTGGTGATATAATTTCAGTTTCAGTTCTAAGGGGAAATAGAGCTTTATCTGTTTCTTTATAGGGTTTAATGAGGCTAACTGGAAAGGTAGGGTGTTTCCTGTCAAATTCCTTGGTTAGTACTACTTCAACTGCATTTTTGCCATGTAGTGCTCTAATCACAAATGGTCCCGCAAAGGCATCTTTTAGTTTGCGTGGTCCTTTGATGTTATTGAAGTTGATAGTTGATACTAGTACCATGTCACCAATTTTAAAGTTGGGTTCTTTGTGAGATTTGTCCCACCTTTGTTTATTATATTCATGAGAATCATTCATACATCTAGTAGCATGTTTGCGTGCATTGTCAAGCATGGTTTTAAAGCATGATGCAGTAGGATGGATATCTATGAGGTCTTTCTAAGGCTATCTTGTGGTAATCTTGGGTTCCAGCCCTTTTCTAGCAT